GGCTAGAGTGAGTGCCATGGCGTCAGCCTAGCTCACGGCAGCCTCAAACTCCTGGGCTCAAGCAATCCTTCTGCCTCAGCCTCCCGAGTAGCTGGGACACAAATTTGGAAAACCTAACAAATATTTTGAAAGACCATCATCAATATCTAAGAAGATGTTGTCAAGTAATTCAACAAAATGAAATCTCCCTAGTGGGAGAAATTAATGTTACAAGGGTTAGGCAAAAAGAAAACCCCAGCTATTTAAGTGTACACTATGGGAAGTTGGCAGTAGGAAATGTGATAGACTGAGGGATACTTGTTGACCACACACTTAGTGTGAGAGTCAGCGTGGTACAGCTGCCAAGAAAGCTTTCGTTAACAAACACAGCATCTCCACATAGGGTGGCAAGAGCCTGTCTACTGTGCATGGTCGTTTCTCACCTGGGCTATGCAGTCTTCCTAGGCCTGGTGCATTTGGTGGGGGGAAGATGATCACGCTGGAGAAGCATGTTCAAAGAAGAGTGATCAGGAAGGCTAAAGTGTTGTGTAAGGGATAGGTGCAGAACTGGGAATGCTAGCCAGCGAGAGAGGAGACACATGCAGACATAGCTGCTTTTCAACATCTGTAATACTATCTCACAGAGAAGCACTCAACATTTTTTTTTGTTTAGTGGCTGCAGGGAGTAGTACTTAGACCAGTTGTTAGAGAAAATTAAAGAATGCTGCTTTATGGTATAGATGAGTAGTCTTTTATACCGTAGGAACAGATTTTATTTATCATGAGAAGCTTTCTAGCAGCAGTTATTATCCAAGGATGGAATGGGTTACCTGCTGAGGAATTGCGTTTCCCATCATTTGAGGTACACAAGCAAAAGTTGGACACCACTTTGTGGGGGTGCTCTCATGACTTTCAGACATCAGTTGGGTAGATGGGTAGAATGAACTCGGTGGGGTCTGCTAACCTGGGCAGCCCAAGATCATTCTCCTAATTTTTTCCCCATTAGTACACATACACATTTTATTTTCGTAATGAAAGTCAGTGAGAAAAGGATTCCCTTTGCCAATGAATTTGTGATACTACATGCATTTGATTTTGTTTGCATGCTTTCTGACATGAATTGCTTTTAACCATAAATTGTTTCTTTCAATAGATGGACGACCTCAATGGGAGGTAGAAGGGAAAATAATCAGGGAAAAATGTCAAGGGGTAAGAAATTTACCTTAATTCTTAAGAAATATTTAAGAAGCTTAATGAGAAAATTGAAGAACGATGCTTTGTGGTATAGATGAGTAGTCTTTTATATATTGAGTAATAGAAAAGTAAATTGGAATTTTTAGAAGTTTGGAAGTAAGATGCTTACCTGGTATTAAAATTCAGAAAAGATAACCAATTGATGTCTTTCCTTCTTTTTTGTGTATAGAAAGGGAGGAATTAGAAATGAAAGAAGATTATCAGAAGGTTCTTATTGAAATTATCATTTATTTATTTCTCTGAATTCAGTGAAGAAATCAAAACAAATTCAATAGGGTCGGGTATGGTGGCTCATGCCTATAATCCTAGCACTCTGGGAGGCTGAGGAGGGAGGATCGCTCAAGGTCAGGAGTTCAAGATCAGCCTGAGCAAGAGTGAGACCCCGTCTCTACTAAAAAAAAAAAAAAAAAAAAAAAAAAAAATTCAGTAAAGAACATATATAGTGGGCAAAGGATAGGAGGAGGACAAGCCTTTTGGGATTTGTGTATTTAGCACACTAATCCTACCTCCTCATCTACTTTATTAAGTCTTCTAGGATTCCACATTGAAAGCTGTGGTCCCTTCATCGTGGTTGAAATGGAGACAAAGTTTTCTCTGGAGCAGGGAATACTATTTCCCACTGTGCTTTCCAAAGATCTGGAGCAATTAGGTTGAGGATTGCATTTGGTTTGGAGCTAAAGGTTTTCACCCTGCTTGCATAAAATTATTTTTGATATGGATACAGATTTTATGTAATGCCAATTTAGGACATTTTGAATATAAAACTTATGAAATCTAGGCTGGTCATGGTGGCTCATGCCTGTAATCACAGCACTTTGGGAGGTCAAGGTAGGAGGATTCCTTGAGGCCAGGAGTTCAAGACCAGCCTGGACAACATAGCAAGATCCTGTCTCTATAAAAAAATTTTTAAATTATCCAAGCTTGATGGTGTGTGCATTTAGTCCTAGCTACTCAGGAGGCTGAGACAGGAGGATCACTTGAGCCTAGGCATTTGAAGTTGCAGTGAGTTGTGATGATGCCACTACACTCTAGCCCAGGCAACAGTGAGACCTTGTCTCAAAAAAAGAAAAAAAAAATTTATATTGCAACTTGAGAAATACCAAACATGATTAAAAACCAGAATGGTCAAGGCAAGATAGCTTTTGCCTGTAATCTCAGCTATCAGGAGACTGAGACAGAGCAAGACCTCATCTCTTAAAAAAGTAAATAAATAAAACCAGAATGGACTTCCTGTTAAGATTAATAGTAACATGTAATATTCAGTAGAGCAAAATATCTCACCACATAGTGTGTAAGACTGTTTTTATTTCTGCTACAGTTAGTAACACAATTGGATGGGCAAAAAAGCAATTTCTCCTTTAATGATTAAAAGTCTTATCTCTGTCAAGACTGATGTATCCATATAGTAAATCTCCAGATGACTTTTCTGACCAGTTGATGTACACAATTATCTATGAGGGGAAAGCCCTTGTAGTTAAAGCCCTTGTAGTTAAAGAGTTTCACTGAGTTTAGCAGGTGCATTTCATTTTTAGTTCTGAGTGTAACACAATCTTGCTTTCCATGCTCCTTAGGCTCACATTGTCCTTGAAGTTCCTCCATATCATAACCCAGCAGTTACAGCTGCAGTGCAGGTGCACTTTTATCTTTGCAATGGCAAGAGGAAAAAAAGCCAGTCTCAACGTTTTACTTACACACCAGGTATGAGTTGTTGTGATGGTTTGCTATAGGACTTTCTTTCATAATGAGTAAAAAGTTATTCAGTGAATCCTTTTTTAGAATGTTGAAGATGTAGGGTGCTTATAATCAATAAAAATACCAACATATACCTAATCTAAAGTTTGTGTTGACTTTAAATATTAGATGAGCTCTCAGTTGTTATTTCATAGTGATTTATTATAAGGAAATTAGAAGATGGACTGTAGATTTGAAGTCTTTTTTCAGAAGCTATCAGAAATCATCACCATTACAGAGGGGCAGGTGTTTGTGAGTATGTATGTGCTCGTGGGTCATGAACTCCCCTTCTGTCCTTGGCACTGCAAAAAGGCAGTGTACCTACTTCATTGTGTCTTCATCTCAACCATACACAATCAGGTGAAAAATCTCTCATTGAATTTTCATTTGGCAAACAACATCTGTACCATAACGTGGGCTGTGGGGGATATAATGTTGATGTCAAAGTTCCTGATTTTATAGATACACCCCAACAAAGGAGGCTTCTGTGCCTCTTTTTGCAGTAGTTCAAGTGTTGTAACTTTCCAGTTTTTGATTGTGACACTTAAATATATGCAGTATTTCATGCTGATGGTTACATACTTGGAGAACAAATATTTATAGAGGTCTTCTCTGTGCTAGGCACTGTGCTAGTCGCCAGAGCATATAATGATAAAAAATCATAGTGAATTTTAGTCTCCAAAACTTATTCTTCTAAAAACTTTTTCAATGGTTTATAGTAAATGAAAATAACAAACACTTGTATTTGAGAAGGCGTTGGTTATTATTAATGTTAATGGTTATTCATTTGTTACTCATCTTTTAAAGCTTGGTTATATTTCCTTTATAGTTTCTAAAGGCCACTTATGTTCCAAAATCTGAAAATTATTGTTACTTTATAATGTTAATACATTACTTGGTAATAAAATATTTCAGATCATTTTCATACAGACTACAAAAACTAAAGATTTTGGTTAGCCATTTTTTTCATTCAGTAATTTGAGAGTGTCTACTGGGTGGCAAAACATATCTTAGTCTCTTGTTGCATGGAATTTATGGTCTAGAGGGACCAATAGAAGTTAATAAGTCACTAAATAAATTAACAAATTTGTAATTCGAAACTGAGGTTAGAACTCTGAAGGAAAGGTATACAGTGCTGTGGGTGCAAATAACAGAAGGACCCTTGCCTAGGCTAACAGGTTGAGAAAGGCTTCCATGAAGAAATGATACTTGAGTTGTAACTGGAAAGTGATAGTAATAGTTTGTAGTTATATAGCATTCGCTATGTTTTTAGTCTTTTTCTTAGCCCTTGCTATATTAATTAATTTACTCTTCTTAATAGACCTATGAGGTGGGATTTCTGTCTTTTGATAAGGAAACTGAGTGGTTAAGTAATATGCCCAAGGTTTCACAGTATACAATATCAGTCTTAGAGCCCAACTTTACACACAAGCATTTTGGCTCCAGAATCTGGGCTCCTATTATTCTAGAGTACATCTCAGGTTTGTTTATTTATTTAGTAAACATATAGAGCATTTAGTGTATGTAAGATGCAGTTTACACATAACTCATTTATCTTTCCTTAACCCTATGAGGTAGGTACTGTTGCTGTCCTCATTTTACAAATGAATAAACTGAGGTCACACAGGTAATAATAAATGGCAGAGATGGGATTTGAACCCAGGCAGTCTGGCTATAGAGTCTATAGTATTAATTATTAATACTATATTAAAGTGAGGAAGAGCATTCCAGATAAAAGGCAGTAGCATATGCAAAGACCTTGTGCTTAGTGGGATCATGGAGTATTAAAAGAGCTATAAGAAGTGAGCTTTGGCCAGGTATGGTGACTCACACCTGTAATCCCAGCACTTTGGGAGACTGAGGCAGGAAGATCACAACGTAGCTAGACCCTCTCTCTACAAAAAATAAGAAAAATTAGCCAGACCTGGTTGTGTGTGCCTGTGGTCCCAACTACTAGGGAGGCTGAGGCAGGACCACTTGAGCCCAGGAGTTCAAGGCTGCAGTGAGCTGTGGGAAGGACTGTAAACTCTAACCTGAATAAGAAGGGTGAGGGCTTCTGGGATTACACAAAAAAAGCAGTAGGACCAGTGGATTCGAGGTTTTGATTACTGCCTTCTAATGATAGTAAATGAAAGGCAAATAGGAGAGAATATGGTGCCTTTATGTTACCAATTCATAAATTGGGAGGACAATAAAAGGCAGCATCCTAGAGGACATTACATATGAGAATGGAAATCAGTGGAGCCCAGGATTGGAGGGAAAACATTGGATTACACAATAATTGTCATGACTGGCTTTATGGTTGACAGAATATAAATCAAGTGGCATATACTACTAACAGAAGGAAGAATGGACTCACATTCACTCACAGGAGTGAGTTTTGGACAGTACTTGTTCTGGTTGATCATTGTCTTTTCTCTGTAACACTTTGCTTTTTTCGTTTTTGTTCTACAATGAAATTTTGCATAAAATTTTTGCAAAAGCCAATATATTACTGTAAATTTGTTTTAAAAAGACAGGTGGAAGGAATATTTTTAAATATTCATATTCTTTTCTACACTGAAACTGTCATTGTGTCTTTCTAGATTCTTTTGATCCATATATATAAATAATAGTTATCAAAATTTCTTAGATTATTAATTTTCCCTTATATTTTTAAATATTCATATTGAATATCTAACAATGAATAAACAAATCATGGTATTGCCATAAAATAGAATATTATGCAATCACAAAATAGTATGTTTTAGGACATTTTAGGATATGCAGAAATGTTCATTATATAATCTTATATAAAAACACAGGATACAAAATTACACATAGAGAAAGCTCTATTTGTGTTTTGTTATGTTTAAAATAATGATTATGGGAT